GCAGATTTATAGTATTACTATAGCATTTCACCTGAGCATTGTGAATCACGCGTATGGCCATGATAAGTGCTGAATGAATGACAGGCTTTCTGTTGTAACATCGCGCAAGGTAAATAAGGGTGACATCTAGTGGAGAAGATTAATGATAAGATTCACGTTAATCAGATCTTGTTTTAAATGTGTGCAGAAATAAATACCGGAAAAGATCGATTCGCGGCTTTTGAGAATCGATATCGAATCGACGTCATTTAAAAAAACGATTAATCGAAAAATCGATTTTTCTGCCCAGCCCTAATGCGTAGGTCTTGCTTTGAAATGCAAATGAAACAGCTTTATTTACAAGTGGCTCTGAGAGGGCCTTTGAAGACATGTTTGCTTACGACCAGTCTAGAATGATTTCAGCATCCATGGCTGGATGAATAAATAAATGAATACGTACAGTCAACCAGTCATTACTGCAAATACGACCCCAAGAAATAGGTGTTTGTAATACCTGTCCAAAAACACATCACGTTACAGCCATAGGCCTAAATGTTGTTCTTTCACTAAAATTTTTTATGACTATGCTACCATTCACAAGTTTGTGGTCAGTAATATTTTTAAATGTCTCTTATACTCACCAAGGCTGCAATTACTTAATCAAAAACGTATTCTTTCATTTGAAAGAATAAAAAAACATACCTACCCTAGTGAAAAAATAGTATACTTAGGCACAATTTATTCATATGTACAGTACTTTGTGTTAGGCGTGCTGGCTAAGTAATCAAGCGCTCGAAGAAGGAGTAAAGTTCAAAAGGAGTTTTTAATCATAAATACAGGAGAATATCTACAAGTCCATAAACAAACAGTCTCAAATGCTCAGCAACATAAATCCAAATAATAGCAGACGATGAACTGATGAACAGACAGGCCTTAAATACAAGAACAGGGTAATTAAGGAGAGCAGGTGTGTGGAACTAGTTAACAAATCAAAAACCATAGAAACAAACGAGGGAACACAGGCAAACTGGAAAGCAGAGAAACCAAAGCACAACAGAACAGAAACGTGACACTTTGGTATAACTAAACGTATTTGTGGCACACTATAACTTGGTATACTTAAGGTCTGTTAAATTGGAACAACTAATTTTGTACTAAATATATTTTAGTTGTGCAAAAGCAGTGCTGAAGTTCAACTAAAGTTGTATTAAATATACTTGTTTGTGCTAAAGTGGAACTATTCCAAGTATACTTAAGTACACTTTAAATATCCACTCTTGTATTTATATTTTGAAATTCAGAATTCACTCAGCATAAACTTCAAATGTATTTAGGTGACATTACAATTGCAATTCAATTACACTGTAAGAGTGCTGAACATACATTAATATTGTACTAATAAAAAACTGAGGTCATACTATGCTTTAATTTTAGCAGTAGCTAACCGTGACTCTTGAGCCTAGGCCCTCTCCCCCTACCCTCGTCGGGGGAAAAACTATCAGCCTAGCTTACGTTGTCCTCTTCTAAAAGTCATCTTTGACAATTCCAACTCTGAAACAAGAGGCTATCCAGCCTTCAGGCGGTCGCACACCGGACGACATGTGCAGCCTTGCACTTGTCTTTAAAATTTGCGCACATTGTTTTCCATGAATGTATGCACACCGGCGACTGTCCGCGGATCCCGACTCCGGGCGCTGTTCATAATCCTGCCGCACCACAGAGTGCCTCAACACCACTCACATCATTTTCCATTAAATTACATTATATTTGTCCCAAATTCTTGTTAATGTACATAATGACCTAATCCTAGGTTGGAAGATTGTGTATTGTGCATTTTTTCAGCAAAACATTTGTCTTTCTGTGACTCTTTCTGAATTTTATTTTCCATTAAAATACATTATATTTGTCCCAAATCATTGTAAATGTACATAATGACTTCAACCTAGGTTGGAAAATCCGTGTATCATTCGATCATTCGTTTTTTTATTTAATATTGAAAGTAGAAAAATGAGAAAGTTCAAATTATAAATATTTGTGGTGCTCTCCCATTCACTGCTATTCAGGTTAACCCAACCGTGACGACTTCCGCTGCTGAGAAACCCAGAAATGTGAAAAAGGTCCATTGCTTGGCCCTCTGTAATTTCACAGCTGGACCACCAATCACAGAGCCGCAAACGCTAGGCGGAAACATTCAAATATGGAGAAAATGGGTGGAGTTCATAAGTCCATTCACTGAATGCGCAGATTTGAATACCCATTTGAATTTTGTTCTGAATTCTTAGACTGCAAATATCCAGTTTTTAAACATACAGCTTCAAGTTTTCAAGATGAAGAAGAAATTCGGAACATCAAATTCAATTTTCTTAAATTCAAAACGCAGAAATTCAGATCGTACAGAAAGTAGGTCAGAGGTCATTCACAGGGAAGAGTAGATGATCTCCGAAAAGTGGAACAAAGCATTTTGGCCAATTAGAGCTGCAGTAGTTTTCTGGCGCGAGCCAATTAGCTTTAGCTGAACTGTTGACATGTTGCTTTTGTGTTTTTTTTTGCAGATTGGAAATCTGAACCAGATAAAAGTAAAGCAGCATCCTTATACACAAAGGAAATAATTTGCCAACATGAGATGAGAAAGCCCCTCTTGATGACCATGGATTTGAGGATGGACAAGGAAGATCAAGACAGAACTTGTTGCATTCTACAAACAAAACGGCATAGAATGGGCAAGCCCTGTGAAGTGCAGACTCCAAGGTGGTATTAAACAAGTAAATACATTTATTTAGTGGCATTCCTAGTTAGGTTTTAATGGCCATGTCTCTCTCTCTCTCTTTTTTTATTTATTTTTTTGGACTGTTGCTGTAAATTGCTGTTACATTCAGGGGATGCTGCCATTGGTGAGGGAGTAACCAGACATTTCTTGTCTACTGTTATACAGAGGCTTCAGCATGGATTTAATTTTAACATGGGTATGTCAGCTATTTTTTTATGGAACATTGACTATAGTATTTTGTTTAATCTTTGAATCCAAAATATAACTTTTAGCCCATTATTTTAAAACAGGAAATACTGCAAGGACCTGTCTCTTTGACGGTGAACCAGGTCATCTTGTTCCATCATCATCACAATTTCTCGTAGAGAGTGATCTGTTCCTTGTTGCAGGACGAATGATTGGACATTCTTTCCTACATGGTGGACCTCGGCTGGCTGGAGTCAGCCAAGCAATAGTCCATGTACTACTAGGAGGTTCACCTGAGACTGCTACAGTGCAAATAGAAGACTGTCCTGACCATGATATTCGTGATATTCGTGAACTGGTATTTACATTATACATACATACAGTAGCATAATTTAGCTGTAATTTAAACAATTCAAACAATTCATCTTTTTTTTTTTTTTTTACTTTCATTTATACTGTTCTACATGGAGCTTGATGGAGAGGCTGAACTCACTAGCAGTGAATATCAAGCTGTCCTTGACCTGAGTCTTGCGTGGGATCTTCCTGGCCCAACCAAAGAAAACCGGAAGTGGCTTTTTGAGCGCCTTTTATCATATGCGGTAGTGTTGTTGTTGTTTTTTTTCTTTTGTTTAATTAACCTTCAAACTTAAGCATTGGTGTACTATAATATTAATTGTATTCATGTAACCTAATAATCTAATATATGCAATACAATAGGTCATTGGAAGGAGATTACGGCAGGTGAAACAAATACGTAAAGGACTCAAAGAAACCAGTGTGGCCACTGCTGACTGAAAGGAAAGATGTGGATATCTTTCAGAGGGAATGTGAAAATTCACTCACCCCTTTGGTAAGTTTAATTTGGTTATAAAGTGATGTGCATATAGTACTGTTGCAACAGAAATGTATAATTGTTTCCAGATGCTGCTTCCCTGTATCTGCTGGCCCTCTGATAGCAGTGTGGATGATGATGATGATGATGATGATGATGATGACGACCACGATTGTTCACTAGAAGATAGATGTCGCATCTCAGGGTATTTGCGTCACTTCATTGAGACGGGTATAAATCTTTACATTTGTTTTGTTAGGTCTGTATGAAATGTACTTGATACAGTTTGCTGGATTTTACAACACTGGGCATATGTTTGATGACCTGGATTAAATCATGGAGTGGTGGCAGGGATGACATCAGAAACTGAAAGACTATTTCACCACTGGTTCCTTCAAGATTTTCCCATGGGGTTTTATCAATTATGAGTAAAAATAAAGCCTGTGGTAAATGTAACTTGACAATACTTTGATATTTTTTTCTACAATGTAAACTGCACACACTCACCCACAAATCATGAGTTGTGAAGCATTTGTGTTAATTTTTGAAAATATATGCTTTTAACGTCTGGGATGTGTGTTTACACTGCAGAACAAAACATCAAAGGATTGTCGAGTTATGTTTAATACAGAATT